ACCACCACCACCACCACCATAGTTGCCGGAAAAGTGTCCATTCCATCCATAAACATGACCACCATGATGTCCACCGGTAAGTTGATTGTTATTGTTTCCATCCGGTTTGTTCGACGATGGTGTCATTCCCACCGGAGGAGGATACATATTGTATTGTGGTGGTGGGGGTGGGGGCATGGAATAGTGTGGGTATCCATACGGTGGTTGATATGGGTAGGGATACGGATATGGGACGGGGGGAAACACTTGTGGGATTGGTGGTACGGGTGGATTGTTTTCCTTTCCTTTTGATTCCAAACTTTGACGTCGAAGACGTTCTAGTTCTTTTCGTTCCGGGTCCTGTTCACGACGATATGCCTCTAACTCCTTTCTCTCCGCTGTATTCAACGTGCTTCCCCGTGCAGGCTTCTTGGATGGAGGAGTGTCTTGAGTAAGATCTTCCACCGGCAACCCGGTCGACTTCCTCTTTGCACGAGATACACCTACGGAACCGATTGCATTCATTGCCTGGGCCTTCAGAGCAAGAGTACTCTCTGTATAGTGCTTTTGTGTGTCAATGCTCTTATGACCCATTTGTCGAGCCACGGCATGCGGATCCACGCCAAGACCTTTCATGATGGTGCATGCCTTTGCTCTCAGCGCATGACCTGATGCCACTTTTTTGGCATCCTGTACTCCAATCTTGGCACAGAATTGCTTGACAAAAAGACAATGTTTGTTATGGCTGACGTTTCCATCCTTCTTGGCAATGTCCGGATCGCTCGGTTTGAACCAGACATCATAGTCTTTGACTGGTCGTGGGCACTCTGGATGACTTTTGTTCCAATCGATATCCCGCTGTTTGAGTCTTGCATTTTCGATCTTTGACTCTTTTTCGGTGTACGGATATGCGTAAAATCCAACTGCATCGGGATGCATGTGCTCGACGAATGTGTCATGCCAATCAACCGGGTTGTAATCAAGGTCGGGACGATTGATCATGGTCTTGATCCTTTCGGATTCGGGAGGAAGACTAGTGTTGCCGAATTCAACTTGCTCTGTCTTCGAAAAGGGCACAAAGAATCCTCTCCATTCCGTACCACCAATCTTGCCATCCAAGTCATCATCAAAATCATCGTCATACACTCCACTCCGAAGATATTCTTTACGAGTATTCACGTGGTCACCTTTCCCTCGAAAACACAAGAACAGTCCATTGTTGAAGTGTACACTCAGGAAGACATCATGTCGGTTGGTGATTTTGATCACGCCTTCTCGGACGGCTTTACAAGCAAGTTTGAGAACATTCTCTTTGATTCTCTTCCTTTCTTTGTTGGTGGCAAATGTCTTGTCAACTTTGCGGATGGATGCCCAGTGTTCTTTCATTACTCCATGGAATTCTCCCGGACTATTGAAGTCTTTGTCAAAGTCGAACTGAATACCTTTGCGTTTCAGCACTGCGAACGCACCACGAAAGAACTGTTCCGTGGAATTTGGTTGAAAGGGATCACCTTTGGTTCCGTTTTTGCCGATTTTCTTGTTGAGGTTGAGACCGACCACAATGCAAGCTTTGTTGAGAATATCATGTGTCTGTTTGTCGCGGGAAAAGCCAAGAACATTGAAGAAGGCATAGTCCAATGCCTTTGCATCCTTGCTGTATCCGTTGTACCGAACTGGGACTTTCTGGAGTAGGGGTTCGAATGGTTTTCCTCCATGGTCCTTGAGTATCTGGAAGAATCGATTTTCATTCGACACTTTCCTTGTTTCTGTCTCTTTGGTGTTCTTTCCTCGCTTGGTGTTCTTCACAAGATTCTGCTTTTCGGTACTCATTCCATCAAACCCGTGTTCATGTGCAAGCTCGAGCACTCTTTGAGCAAGGGCGGCATCATTGTGATTTTTCGAGTTCTCTTTCGGTTGTGGTGGTGGCACTGGTTTCTTCCTTCCATATGGGTTTTGGTACTGTCCAGCAATGAACCTTCGAGGAGGAGGAGGCATATTAGGAACAAATGCAGAAGGGCTTTCTGAATTCTCATTCAAGTCAAGGTCTTGTCTCATGAAACTGTCTGAAAATCCATTTTCTTTGACTTGGGCACGTGCTTTCTCTTTGCGCGCATCATTTGCCATTCGAAGTTTCTGTTGTCGACTTGGTGGAGACTGTGATGGTGGTTGTGCGAGACCAAGAAGCAGCCCTGCTCCTTCAAGTTGGGTGGAGGTGGGATCAACAATGAGTGGAGACTTGCCTGTGAATTCATTCTCTTCTCGGTCACCAGTCCACTCTTCTCCATTCTCAAATTTGACTTGCTTCACAAGGACTTGCGACGGATGAAATGGAGAACACTCTCGAGTTCCAATATGCACGGCTTCTCCTTGGGACACGAGCTCATTGACTTTCTCTGCCCTGGTCTTTGGTTCTGGTTGTACTGAGAACGCTGCTCCAACCATGTCTGGTGACCGGCGAGAACCGTCCTCGTCGCCGTTCTCGTCGCCAGAAGAATCAGGAAGTAGAAAGCATTGAGTCGGTGATTCTCTGGATTCCACGGGTTCTTTTCCTTCTCCATCCTCATCCTCATCTTCACTGGAGCTGGAGTCACCGAAATTCTTGACTACAAAATCTCCTGCTTGAGGATGTGAGTATCGATCTTCGAATGAAGTGATCTTGTTCCGGTCCACACTTTCTTCTTCGTCTTCACTTTCTTCTTCAATCGGCCGTTGGGTGAGTACAAGGTTGCCATCTTCTGTGTCTTTTTGGATGGCTTCAAGCTGAGAACATAGAGACTTCCCTCTGGGCTTGATTTTGGCAGTTCCACGGGTGACCACCATGATGAAACAGAGCTAGCTAGACTACAACAAACAATCCGATGAATGTGTTGTCGCATGTGTGGACAAAGCAAACTGTTGGTTCGGTTATTGAGTTTATCACTCTGCAGTGTAAAGAATAAGCCAAAAGACTGTTAATACACACCACAGATGTCTATTCCCAACAAAACCAAACCACCAACGCAGGACGGACGGGCTTGGGCGGAGCCCAGCGCCCTCCCTCCCATCGCGCGCCCGTATGGGCGCCCATCGGGCCTGCTTTTGGTGGTCTGTTTTTATTAAAAGCAAACCTTGGTACTATCCATACTAGCTAGTGCGTAATGGATGACTTTGACCTTTTCTGGGAGCTGTTCGGCTGGCAACACAATAGCACACGATGCCCCAAAGCGAACCCTCTTATTAGGCAGCAAACTAGCTGTACCGTAGCTAGCTAGAGAGGCAGAGCCAGCTGCATGAGCGATAGTTTCTTCTACCGGTAGGTACGGGTACCGTACCATACGAACCGGAGAGCACAGTCGTACCGAAACGATTTTAGGTGACATGAGGCTAAGACCAATAGAGGAGGCAACTACTGGAAACGGCTTTGCTGGCTTTAAATGACAACCGCCATCGTTTCGCGCCTCTTGCACAAAGAAGCGCCATTTTGCTTGCTTGGCATTGCTTGCCTTTCAGGTTCATTTTTCCGCCTCGCTCCTTCATTCCTTCACAAATAATCATCTACCGTATCTACCAGTATCTCTGCACGGTTGTGAGGATGTCGGCCAAGGTCTCGAAGAAGTCCAAGCAAAATGCTCTTGGGGCCCCCAAAACCAAGCAGAAGCAGATGGGTTTGTTCAGCTTCTTCAAAAAGAAAACTCCGACAGAAACAGTTGCCAAGGCTACAGGTACAGCCAAGACAAATGGATCCTCCAAGGACGACGGTGGAAGTAGTGCGAAGAAAAGCAACAGTGCTAGTTCCCAACAACAACGATCTGTGTCCAGCACCGTGGTTCGTAATAGCGACCGCATGCTCAGGGGAATCAAAGTGAACAGCAAAATCGCCGTCTTTTGGCCGGACGATGGAAAATACTATCCAGGAAAAGTGACTCAAATTGACGCTCTGAAACAGAAATGGCAAGTGACGTACGACGATGATTCAAATGAATGGATTGATCTGCGCCGCGAGAAATTCCGTTTGATCGACAATGACGATGAGGAGGAGGATCTCTGCGATACCAGTGATGAAATGGAGGAGGACAAGGTGGTCAAACAAACTTCACAGCAAAAAGGCCGCCCTGCCAAGCGCCCAAGAATCAGTGACAGTGATGACGAAGAAGAATTTGAAATGGACGACAACCCAGAAGCAGCGGTGGATGAAGAAGAGTTGGAAGACATGGAGGAAGAAGAGGAAGAAGAAGAGCTGGTCTACGATGACGACGATGATGAAGAAGAACCAGCAGTTGCAAAGAAGCGGAAAACACCCGCCAAAAATCGAAACTCAAGGACAACCGACAAGACCACTCCGAAGGTCTCTGTATCGATGTATCAGCCATGCACCGCAACACCGCCCAACAACACGACAGCGCCAACCAGCTTGGAGTCGTTTTCCGCGTTCAACTCAAAACCAGGGTCACAAGTGAATACTCCCACTCGCATCACGCCTCCTTCTTTTTCCAAAGCGACTTCCTCTAGTGCTCCCAAGGAAAGTGCCAAGCTTTCAGCCGACGAGGACATGGCCAACGGAGAGAAGGCACTTCCATTCATTGAATCTGTTGTCAACCCAGCTGGTGCTCATGTTCACAACCACCTCAAGTTCCTCCGCAACCCCAAAGACGCACAGGGCCGCTCCAAGGGAGATCCAGGATACAATGCACGAACTCTGCGTTGGGACAGAAACGAGTTTTTGGAGTGCGTCAACAGAAACAAGCCCAAACAGCCCAAAAAAATGAGTCCAGGGGTGGAACAATGGTGGAAGACAAAGGCCCAGTATTTTGATACCGTACTTCTTTTTAAGACGGGCAAGTTCTACGAAATGTTTCACATGGATGCTGATATAGGGGTGCAACACGCTGGTTTGTCTTACATGAAAGGACATGTGGCACACGCTGGGTTCCCAGAGGTCAGCTATGCCACCATGGCCGATAAGCTGGTTCGAGCTGGATACAAAGTTGCGCGGTGCGAGCAAACTGAAACCCCAGATGCGCTCAAAGAGCGCAAGAAGAAACAAAAGGGGATTCCAAACGTAGTCAATCGAGAAGTCTGCTCCATCATGACGGTCGGCACAAGGACCTGCTGCTACCTGGATGGGGACCTATCAATCAACGCCAGCGGAGAGGCTGGCATCGGCCCACTTCTTGCAATCAAAGAAAAGAAGATCGAGCAAAGCACCCAAGAGGATGACAGTGACCAAGATGGTGGCGTGATCCATCCCGTCTGTGAATATGGTATTGTGGCTGTGGACGCTTCTAGGGCCGAAATCACAATGGGACAGTTTGCCGATGATGCGATGCGCACTCGACTACACACTCTTTTGTCCACACTCGCTCCATCAGAAGTTCTTGTCGAAGGCAGTGATCATGGCTCCTCAAAAGAGTTGCTATCAGTTCTCAAAACTGCCCGAGAGTCGTCTCCCTTCTTGATTGAAACTGTCGAGCAAAACGAGGCGTTTCCGAAGTCGACAGCCCTTGACCCCAGCATTCGACGAAAGCTTGACCGCAATAACGGCAAAGCGCAACCGTGGAACGTCGAGGAGACCATGGCCGAGCTCCACCGTAGGCAGTATTTCCCCCGTGGTTCCAAGCAGAACCACACTAGCACAAGCCGATGGCCATCAGTGCTCCAGATGGCTGTCGAAGGGAATGCAGAGCTGGCACTATCGAGCCTCGGAGCCGTCTTGTTTTATCTCCAACGAAATCTCATCGATGAAGAGATTCTTAGTATGGGGCTAATCAAGGCGTACATTCCCGCGGAGGCTCCAGAAGATGAGGACGATAAGAACGGCGGCACAGCTGCGAATTCCCCAGACAAGGCAGCACAACGTCAGACCCAGGGCGACGCTATTTGGAAACCAACCGCCTCCCAGGACGGCCAGGGAATGAGTGACGAGGAGACCACCTCGCACATGGCTATTGATGGCAACACGCTGTGCCAGTTGGAGATTCTCACCAACTCAATTGACCACAAGGAGGCCGGCAGTCTTTGGTCCAAGATCAACTTTACGAAGACGCCGCATGGTACACGCCTCCTCAAAGCATGGGTGCTCCGCCCATTATTCCAGAAGGCTGAAATTGATAGAAGAGCGGATGCAGTGGAAGAATTGGGATCGGGCGACGCTGCAATGGCAATGGACGAAGCCAAGGCCCTGCTTTCTAAATGTGGAGACATCGAACGGCTTCTCGCTCGAATCCACGCAATGAGCGGCACAAAGTGTCCCGGATCCGACGAATCCGAAGGGATGATCCACCCCAGCTCGAGGGCTGTGTTGTATGAAACGAAAACTTACACGAAGCGTAAAGTGGGCGACTTCAAAAAAGTGCTCACCGGACTTCGCAGCGCGAGCAAAATCCCCGAACTCTTTGCCGACATTGACGTTTCTAGCCCGTTGCTTCGGAAACTGGTCAAGACACCCAATGATGGAGGCTGTTTCCCAGATGTCGGGGAAGAGCTTGACTTTTTCTTTGAAACAGTTGACTTTGCTGCCGCCGAAAAGGGGGAGTGGGAACCAGGACGGGGCATCGACGAACTGTTCGACGAAGCTTGTGATGCCATTGACCAAATCCACCGCGAGCTGGAACAATATAAAGACGAAATGTGCGCCGTGCTCACCCCCAAGAGTCTTGCTAGGAGTTCGTGGAAATATAGCGGCCTCGATTTGGATTCAAAAGACAAGTATATCATTGAGCTGCCCATTGGTGTAACGGTTCCAACAGACTTTCGGATGGTGGGCAAGCGTGGAAAAGGGCAAAAGCAAATTTGCAAGTATCAATCTTCTGTGGTTCAGGTAAGTTTGTTCATACTTTCGAAGTGGATCTGCAAGCATCGCTCAACTTACATCCCCTTTCGTGCCGGAATAGGAGCTTGTCGTTTCGTTGGAACAAGCAATCGAGGCACACAAAGAGCGCAAGGCTCAGCACATGCAGCACGTGTTTGCTCGGTTTGACGCCAAACGAAACCTCTGGGAGCAAGTGAAACACGTTTCCGCCATGTTGGATGCACTTGGCTCCTTGGCTCACTTTTGTGGTCGGCCTGGCTACTGTCGGCCCCAAATCCTCGAGTGTCCTCCTGATGCAACTCCATGCATCGAGATTGTTCAGGGACGCCACCCATGTGTCGAGTCCACCCCCGGCAGCGGTGAGTTCATTCCAAACGATCTCTCTCTTGGATCGAGCGAACGAGATGTTCAAGCCCCGTTGTCGCTTCTTCTGTCTGGACCCAACATGGGAGGCAAGTCGACGCTACTACGTCAGACTTGCCTCATCTCAATCTTGGCGCAGATTGGTGGCTACGTTCCAGCTGAGGCTTGCACGTTGACCCCCGTCGACAGAATCATGACACGCCTTGGAGCCAGTGACAGGATCCTCCTGGGCTATTCAACATTCTTCTGTGAGCTCTTCGAGACCGCCTCTGCATTGAGATCTGCGACCCGACGTTCTTTGATTATCTTTGACGAGTTGGGTCGCGGCACAAATACGTGGGATGGCACGGCCATTGCGAGCGCTTGTCTTTCCTACATAGTGGATACTCTCAAGTGCCTTTCGCTCTTTGCAACCCATTACCACTCGCTTTTGGATGACAAGAAGAGCGATCCTAATGTTCGGTTGGGTCACATGGAAAACTCTGTCAACAAGGCAGATGACACTGTCACCTTCCACTACACACTTGGGAACGGAGCGTGCCCCAAGAGCTTCGGAGTGAGCTGCGCACGTATTGCTGGCCTTCCTGATGAGGTTTTGAAAAGGGCTCAGGCACTCAGTTCGCAATTTGAGACGGAAGCATCGCAGCAACAAAATGTCATCAAGATGATCAATGAAGGAAGCTGCAAACTGACAGAGCTTGAAGAGCTATGGGACTCATTGCAGGGCAACAGCATGGACACGGACACGGCTGATGCCTCTGATTGAGCGCGGTGCACTATTGAACCTTCTTTACAGAAAGATCTCTCTCGAGTGGAACCGCACCCAGTAGTAATTTTCGTGGGATACTCTCCTGTTTAGTCTCCATGTTAGCCAACAGACTGCTCCCACCTTGTGTCCCGGCCTTGCTAGCGCAGCACGGTATCCAGTTCGAACCGTGCATTCCTCTCTAGCTAGAGCCCTGCGCGGTTGAGTGGCTCTTTCCTGTCACCCTCCTATCCGAATGTTAGGTGCGGAAGATCCGTTCTGCCATGATGTACTAGTACTCGGCGCATCTACCACTACGGTTCACTGCGAGGCTTTCAGAACAGCAAAATTGCTACTAGGAAGGTGCTATTACTTATACTTGTTTGAAACTGCTTATTTCTTAGTCATCTGCTTCTGGTAGAATGTCAACTCCTTTCCTTCCAAAATGTATCCATCACAGCGTCCAGTTTGTCCTGGTCTGGAAGTGATCTTGGCGAGAATACGACCAGATGCAAATTGCTGATCGAGTGCTGCTTCTACGGTACGGTCCTTTTGGCGAGTCTTGAGCTTCTTCTGTACCTTTTCTGACTTTTCAGTCAAGTCGATGGATATCTGTTGTCGCTCCTCTCCGGATGTTTTCTTGAGTCCCATCTTGACACCGTAGTGGGCCTCATACCATGACTTGAAAGGGTGGGCATCAATCATGACAATGGCACCCTTGACGAGTGTCTTGGTACGGACCAACTCGTTATTGGAAGCATTGTAGGTGACATCCAAAACACGGACCTTTCGAGTGCAGACTTCGGTTCCCCAAGAGAAGTTACCCGAGTCAAGACGCAAGGCACGAAATTTCATGTTTCCTCCACGGCAACGCACAGGGTGAATGCGCTTCTCACCAATTTTCGTCATGGCTGCGGGACGTCCCAATTCGAACTTGCGCTTTTTGCGGAACTTGGCACGACGGCCTCCCGTCTCGCGGCGCTTGTGCCGCCCTTCACGTGTGATACCCTGTTGAGTGTAACAGAGAAAGAGAGACTACGTTAGCAAACCATACAACAACCACTGCTACTACATTCTACACCACCACCGCCACCGCGAAGGGGATTCATTGACTGACCATGGTTCTAGTAAAGTCGACTGTCTTCTACAACAATGGAGATGGCAGCAGGTACCAAGAGCAGTGACGAGGAGATGGAGAGGTCGTTGCTGCCAAGCAAATTCAAGTAAGAGGAAAGTAGTAAACGGGAAACGTACAGACGTAAGTTTTGATCCATTGAGTCGAGTCCTTAGTCGAATGGCAGTCGTCCAGACCACGTCAATGCACGTTTCAGGAACCAACAGCAAACTCAAATCCATTCACGCACCTGTCTGTCATTGAACATCGAACAGGAAGGAGAGCCAACACTTCCGAGACAACACCATCACAAAGAAGATCAAGGTAGCACTCAGTACCAGCACTAGCTAGCTAGTAAAAGACAACCGAGCAGGAACCATGCCGAAACCTAAAGGTATGTGTACTGTACTGTTGCGGCCACATTAGTGGACTAGTCGATGGGCCGGTTGAAGATATATGTACCCACTCACTTTTGTCTTACGTTTGTCGTGTTGTCTGACTGTAGGAAAGGGCGGGAAAAATCGAAGGCGAGGAAAAGGAGATGGCGAAGAGAGCAAGAGAGAACTTGAATTCAAGGAGGATGGTACGTCGGGGAAAGACAGTCCCCACTAATCCGGTTGGGAATGGGTAGTGTCATTTGGAGCAGAAAGTCTCACTTGTGCAATATTGGGTCCTCTTTTTTATTGCTTAGGCCAGGAATATGCGCAAGTAGTAAAGATGTTGGGGAATGGCAGATGCGAGTGCTTTTGCTTTGATGGAGTTACCCGACTGGGACACATCAGAGGAAAGATGAGGAAAAAGGTGTGGATCACGGCTGGTGACATTGTGCTCGTAGCAAAGCGTGATTTCCAAGATGAAAAAGTCGACATTGTGCACAAATACACTGCGGATGAAGCACGTAACTTGAAACAGTACGGAGAACTCCCAGAAACAGCACGTATTAACGAAACTGCCGTCGATATGGCAATGACAGCAGATGATGACGACAACGATATTGGAATTGACTTTGACGACTTGTAAAGCCATTCAATTCAATTCAGCACAACACAGCACGCAGCAACAACCAATTCACGTGTGGTATGATACGGTACAATCACAGCACTGTTACCACTATTTTTAATTATCAAAATATGAAAAAAAGAGTGAACTCTGTGACTGGTGCGTTTGCCCGTCTCGGGCTGGGCAGCGTGCTATGCAAAATGTTTGTTGCCTGCGGTGAGAACACAAAGGATCCTTCGATTCTCCTCCCTGGTTCGTCGCGTTGCACCGAACATTTCATGTTTATTCTACCGTACCAGTACTGCCTTCCTTTTTCTCGTGTGGTACTTGATATGATCGCAAGACAGCCTTTTCCCCTGCCTGGGCAATCTTAATTTAGGCTGCGTTTTCTCGTTTGCAAGGCGACTCTTTTCAGCTCCAAAACTCTCCCTGATCCGGAGGGTACGGTTGCGTTTTCTTTTGTGGGCAAGTGCTGGGGTATCATGAAAGCATTGCTGGATAGGAAAGCAAGAGCGTATCCGTAGCTTGGTAGATGTACCGGTACGGTGCGATCAATTCGTTTAAACCGCACAAAGTAAATTTCAGAGCTAGACTCAATTCTCTCTAGTCAAACGTTGCATACCGGTACTAGCAAGTATGGCACAACTATGCATTGGCTCTGGAGCATGGAGTGGCAGTGATCTGCCCGAGGAGTTTGATTTTTGTTTCATTTGTGCCAAATCATTTCGCAGCTCCGGCAGCTTGAATTGGGGCGTGATGATGATGACTTGCATCGACTTTGGCAAGAACTCACTGCTGCCGGGGGTGGACTCGACACACGGGTGGCGTCCCTGAACAATCTCGATGCATGGAGTTGCATCAGGAGGACACTCGAGGATTTGGGGCCGACAGTAGCCAGGCGGACCACAAAAGTTAGCCAAGGAGCCAAGTGCATCCAACATGGCGGAAACATGTTTCACTTGCTCCCAGAGGTTTCGTTTGGCATCAAACCGAGCAAAGACGTGCTGCATGTGCTGAGTCTTGCGCTCTTTGTGTGCCTCGATTGCTTGTTCCAACGAAACGACAAGCTCCTATTCCGGCACGAAAGGGAATGTAAGTTGAGTGGGGCTTCTGATGCACTTCGAAAGTATGGACAAACTTACCTGAACCACAGCAGATTGATACTTGCATATTTGCTTTTGCCCTTTTCCACGCTTGCCCACCATCCAAAAGTCTGTTGGAACCGTTACACCAATGGGCAGCTCAATGATATACTTGTCTTTGGAATCCAAATCGGTGCCGCTGTATTTCCATGAAGTCCTCACAAGACTCTTGGGGGTGAGCACGGCACACATTTCGTCTTTATGTTGTTCCAGCTGATCTCTCTGCATTGGTCCTGTTGTACTCTTGTTGCCAAGCCCCAGCAGCTACTAGATCTAGCTAGCGAGCTCCCGAGGATGTGTGGCAGTGACGGATTTCGCAGCTCCGGCAGCTTTCTTAGCCGTGATGATGACTTGCATCGGCTGTGGCAAGAGGCGTCAACATGGCCGTCACGGCAAATTTGGCGGCTTCCCAATGATTTCATTCTGCGTCAGCATTTCTTTCCCACGAAACAAGGAGGGACAAGAGTAATCTTGTGGCTCCTCCACAGATTCGGCTTATAAAAGTAATCTTGTTGCCCTGCACCAAGCCACCTTTCAAAGCTATTGGGCAATGGGTAGCAGCAGTCTCATTCACTTTTAACTAAGATTATAAGACATATCACGATGAATGATCTATTCGGATCCGATGTATCGCTGTCTTTGGTGGTTGCCACCGGCATTGTGACTGTGCTGCTGGCATCAGCCTTGGCGTTCGCAACAATGAAAACTGGCACTGGCAGGTGAGAACTGTTTTGTTGGACGAGATTATCTAGACATCTAGCTAGCTAGGCCCCATGTGCAGGATCTCATGTAGTTTTCTTTCAGTTCCACCAAGAAATCAGAGGAACCCAAGAAGGAAGCCCCAGGCCCAGTCGATAGAGAGGTAAGCTACGTCAACATGCACAGTCAGTCATTGTAGATTTTCCCTCTTTCACTGAGCTTTCATTCTTTTGTCGCACACAGAAATTCCCAGGCGGTGAAATCACAGTCCTGTATGGAACACAGACCGGGACAGCCGAGTCCTTTGCTCGTCTGATCGAGAGGGAGGGAGCTGAGCATGGATTCTTTGTCCATGTTATCGATATGGAGGACATTCAAGTGGAAGAAATGCTGGACGATCGCTACAAAGACAAAGAATCTGGAAATGCCAGATTCTTCTTCATCACATCCACTTATGGAGAAGGCGAACCCACCGACAACACTGTAGACTGTGTGGCAAAACTCAGAGAAATGGCAAATATAGAGGTGATATTCGAGGAGAAAAAGGACGCAGAGCCGGTGGAAGAACAAAAGTTGGCTGGAATAGAATATGGTGTCTTTGGATTGGGAAATCGAGAGTATGAGCACTACAACGCCATTGGAAAATTCTTTGATTACGCTATGGAACGAGTTGGAGCATCTCGTGTCGTCGAGCTTGGACTGGGTGATGATTGCCAGGATTTGGAAGGCGACTTTGAAACTTGGAAAGATACCAAATTTTGGCCCACGCTGAAAAAGCTATACATTCGCGACGCAGCTGCACTCAATCGTTTGGAGGCGGCTCCGCACGAGGAACTCCCATCTTGCTCCTACGCCATCGAGGTATACTCCAACCCGCAAGATGCCGTCGACACTCCACTGGAAAAAGTTCATGGTTCCTCTCGTCATTACTTCTCTTCGGAGGATTGCCCAATCAGCACTATTCGAGAGCTACGTTCGAAGGATGATCCGGGATCCACCGTTCACATCGAAATTGACGTTTCAAAAGCAGGAAACATCGATTATCGTACTGCCGACAACCTGGGCGTTTTGCCTGTCAACCAACCTGCTGTGGTGGAGAATGTGGCTCACAGTCTGGGCTATGACTTGAACAAGATTTTTTCGCTCAAGGCTGCCGAAGGTCACGAATGGCATGGAGAACCCTTCCCCATGCCCATTTCGGTTCGGGAATGTCTTACTCGATATTGCGATCTGACATCGGCGCCTCGTAGGTCCGACTTGAAACGACTTTCGGCGTATGCACAGGATCCCGTGGATAAAAAAGCGCTCTTGAGAATGTCATCCAAAGACGGAAAAGCTGAGTATCGAGAGAAAATTACGTATGCACACTTTGGACTTGTCGATGTTCTCAAAATGTGCCCGTCGATCTCGGCACCCTTGGAACACTTTTTGAGTTTCTGTCCCTTGTTGCAAACACGATTCTATACAATCAGCTCCTCTTCAGTGGTTCATCCAAAATCCATTCATCTGACTGTCTCCGTGACAGAGGCAGCCAGGAAGGATGGAACCGTCTTCAAAGGTGTCTGCTCCAGTCATCTCGCTGGTCTCAAACCAGGCGATACTGTACGTGTCTTCAATAGAAGTTCCACGTTCCGACTGCCAAAGGACACATCAATTCCTGTTATCATGGTGGGTCCTGGAACTGGAATCGCACCTTTCAGAGGGATGTTGCAGGAAAGGGACCACCAGAAGAATGTCAAAAAGGAAAATGTGGGCACCGGTGTTCTCTACTTTGGATGTAAGAAACGGAACCTTGACTACCTCTACGAAGACGAGTTGGCTTCATTCCGAAAGAGTGGCGCCCTGACCACTTTGCATCTGGCGTTTAGTCGAGAGCAAAGTGAAAAGGTCTACGTGCAAAACCTTCTTAGCAAGAACGCCAAGGACACCTGGGCCTTGATTCAACAAGGAGCGCATATCTATGTGTGTGGTGGTGTGAAGATGGGCAATGATGTAAATGATGCTTTCAAGCATATTGCGAGTGAAGAGGGCAACATGGCAGTCGAGGAAGCAAAGGAATTCATATCCAAGCTGGCCAAGGAGGGCAGATACGTGCAAGAGCTATGGGCGTAGCCAAGAACTCCAACCTAGCTTGATAGTCAAAACTCACCATCAAGCAACAGTGGTGATAGTTCGACCTCCTTCCGCCTTAAGACATGTATAGAACGCGGTTTCGCTGCGTTTGCGTAGCCTCATAACAAAAGGTAGCATCAAGTAAATTTTCCATCGTGACGCTGATCTGCACAACGACACTTGGTACCGGTAGCTGCTCGCACCGGTGGGTTTCTTTGCTGGTCGTCTGGCAGGACTACTTTGGTGGTACGGAGACACGTCCCCTTCTTCAAGAATGGTTTCGTGTGGCTGCTCTGGATTGAATGAATCGGGTGATGGGCATTTTGGAAGTCCACTCGCGCAAGCTCTATTTCTTGAGCTGAAACCTTTCATCTCGGCAGGGCAATGGCTTTTGTGAGGGTTCGTGTGTGTTGCGCCTTCCGCTGAATGATGGAGCTGCAGACCCAACGATGAAGGGATGCTATACAGCTACTCTCATGTCCAGAACTGGTCCTGACGAGCGCCAGGCCAAGATGCTATTGCCCTGAACGAACTGGTGTTCCCAGTCAAACGTTTACCCAAGCTGACAATGGATGGTTCTGTCTATTCTTGAAGGCCGGCTGCCCTTTGATGTGCAGCTGCCTGCACATTGTTCTCGTCTCGTATCAATTCACCCTTCATGTCATTTCATCTACCGGTATCGTACTAGTACTTGGCTCCCAGCAATGACTTGGAGGGCACTGCAAGCTCCGCTGTCACCTAAGGAGAGGATCGATTGAGCAGTGGAGAAGTAACATATTCCGTGCTAGCAACTAGGTGCTGGGTGGCTGAGGGTAGCTCCAGCTTTGGCAACTCATGATACCCAAACCCTCACAGGAACGGTGGAGATCAGCGAACAACAAACATGCCGCACGGTACGGTGACCCACCAGTTGTCACCGTTGTGTCTCGAAAGAGCTAGCTACTAGCTAGACTTGCCACAAGCTACGGAGCCATCATGCTGAACGAGGAGGTACATGTCGTCAAAACTCGGGGGAGGCGTGAGGAGCTTGGGAGACCCAGCCAAGGGAAGGCAACATGTACCTCGCTTTGAAGACTGTGCCCTGGTACCATGTGGCTCATAGGCCTGCAGCATCTACTATCCTACCGTACCGGTACGTCGTAGGAAGCTCGACAGGGTGACCAAGTGGGCAATTTGCAAGGCAATCTAGCTACATGTATATGGAAATGCTGTCCAACGAGTTCCAGCCGAACCTGTTCCCTCTAAATAAGCATTCTTTTCATTGAGACAACACACGCAGTTCTTCGATTGGAACGAGCTTTTTTGGAACGAGTAGACTGATCATGACACTAATTGTTTTGTTTTTGAATGGTACCACTGCACTAAGTCTTGTAGTATTTTAGTTGACAGCAGCAGCAGCCCTGGCAGCCTGTAAGGCCTGGACACGAGCCCAAGCGTCACGTCGCTTTTGTCCCTTGGATTTCTTTTGGACCTTTGGAGGTTCGATGGACTTTTGAAGGGAGGCGACAATCTCCGTCATTCGCTCCATATCTTCGTCATACTTTTTGTAGAAGCGGTTGTAGGCTTCCAACCAGTCGCCTTCAAGCTGAGCTTCAGCTTCTTCTCTGGAGAGATGTCTGATCTCACTCCATTTGTCGCTGATCTTTTTGATTTCGAGCTGATCTACCGTCATGTCCTCTTCAGGAATGAAAGCAGCCAGAGCAGTACGCCTGGCTGGTGTTGCAGGGACAACCGCTGAAGGTGGGGGAGGGTGGCGACGAAAAGGGCAAGAACGACAACAAGTCAGTGCGAAAGTAGAGTTGGAATTTTTGGTAGTACCCGGGGAAGAATTCTCAGTTGGGTAACAATCCAGATTAAAATTCGCATCTTGATGGTCCAATCTTACCGAAGGAGGAGGCACCCACAAGCAGCGAGGACAACAGCAGAGCAGTCTTCATCGTCAAGTTGTTTCTGTTGTTTCCTGAAGATGATGGCTGTGTCAAAAACTAGCTTCTACTAGTAGCAATCGAACGCTATTGCCATCCACAGCTCGTCGATGGCTCGTCAAGTCTGTCCTCAAGTTGTTGTTTGTTAGGAATTCTCAGATGCCTCTCTTCGGCAAAAAGTACAGTGCTTTGGAATGGAATTTGGAATTTCAAGTTGGGATTAGATTTGCGCCCTTGGACCGACCCTCACTGACGTACTTCGTCGTGTCACCTCCTCACCTCTCACCTCTCACCGTTCATCCCCACGACGCGCAGTAGCCCATCATCCCATCTGCTCCATCGTCTCCAAGAACTCGACGACTGCTGACACATCGAAGGGTGATAGCGTTCTTCTGGTAGTACCACCCCTTGTTGTTTGATTGTTGTGACTAAAGCATACTATCCATCAAACAAGCCACGATGAGAGTCCTTGCCTTTCTTTTCCTTCTCTTTGGCGGAGCCGCTGCCTTTGGTAGGTGACGTTTCCTTCTGAAGGAATCCTTTTCGGTCCCTTGGTCTGTGTTCCGTGTGCATCTCTTCTCATGCTTTTGATTTCATTCCATCAATCACACTCGTAGTGACGTCCAGCTCGTCCTTTGCTGGCTCCAAGTTGTCCTTTGTGAATCCCTCGGTTGCCCCTGCTGGACCCGCATCCAGGTCCCAGCTTTCCATGATGAGACACCGAAAGGGATTCAAGAAATTGGGAAAACCCGCCGACCAGAGAAAGGCACTCCTACGTGCCTTGACCACCGAAACCATCAGGCATGGCCGAATCAAGACCACCTTGGTACGCGCCAAGGCCGTCCGCAAACACGTCGACCACATGATTCAACTAGGAAAGAGAGGCGATCTCCATGCACGTCGTCAAGCTCTTGCCTGGATCTACGACAAACAGCTTGTCCACTCCCTCTTTGAAGCTGCCCCCGATAGGTACGCCGATCGTAATGGGGGATACACGCGTGTCTTGAGAACCGTGGCGAGGCAAGGAGACAATGCCAAAATGGCCATTATTGAACTTGTGTAGGTCATCTTAGTTTAGTCTAGTTTAGCCACATGACATGATGTTCTAGTAGAGAGTGTTGGTTTTGGTATGGCCATTTTTACAGTACTAGTTTGTCAGAAAGACAAGTACTACCAGTACACTGAAAGGAGCAAGACAATTTTAATGGCAACAATAAATAGACAACCATGTAACCCCGTTTTTGAAGTAGAATAATTTCATTGTCCAGGACTTTGCAAATGGTTGCTTTCAATACCTTTCTTCGTTCTATTCTTATCCTTCCTCTATGGAATGATCTAGCTAGTTACACCTTGCCGCTTTCACTTGGATGAATTCTTGTTTGGACTGTCAGTGAAAGTTTGATTATTACAGGAGGGGGTCGAGTCGAGTCGAGTTTTGCTTATTGTCGTACGCGAGGATTGCTGACATTGTGGCATGCCAAGATTACGTGACAAGATTTGTTTTCGTTGCAGGGATAGGCTTTGTGGGCTTCTGCTTCGCTGCTTTTGTTAGCAAGTGCTTGTTTAATGTCCAAAACAGTGGCAATAACACACAGGCAGCAATACAACCAGGTCGCATTGCCAGGATCAAAGCCAGTAGGAAGGATTGACCGGTCCTTTCGTGAAGCAAGACTCCCCCCTTGGCTCACTTCAGTCATTGAAAGTTTGAGTTTAGGGAGGTTGAAATGATGTTGTGTGGATTGGGGCCAGCTCACAAGGACTCTGGATCACAGGTTTGATGATGCAAAGCGGCTACTTGAGAAGTTTCGTTACAACGAAATCATCGACATTGCCATGTGCCATCCAAGTCCCAGGATCAAGAGGATAGATTCGGGATTGGATGTGGCCGCTTTGGGAGACAACGTGCCTATCCCGGTTGGCCGCTTGTCGAAGGACCAAGCCGCTAAGAGCAAAACGTAGTGGGGGAAAAGGAGTCGAGATGGAGAAATGATGAGTTTCAGAGATGGACAAAGCTGTCATTGACTTTGTCATCAGAACACAGAAAGGTTGCCAATTACTAATCATTGTGATCAATCAATCAAAGGTTGCCAATTCCTATCTCAGGAATATTGGGAGTTTTTCGTCTCAAAAGGCTACCGTGCTTGCTACATTCAGGCGTACCGCACAATCTCCGTACCCGTACCTGGTACCAGTTGGCCTAAGCCATGCAGCTTTGCCAGCTTCACCGACAGAAGTCTCGTCTTGGTTGCGCATTATTTCAAACGGTCCACGCTTCGACCATTCGTTGTTGCTGCTGTCACTTCTTCTTTGAGCTTGCGTCTGTGTTATCATCATCATCATGTCGACATTTGGATCATCAGGAACTGCTCAGGCTTCCTCAATCGCTCCGAACGATTGCAACGTCGCGCAGGCTGGAGACGACGGTAAGTATCACTACTTTGTTTGCTTGTGCTGCTTCAGACGTACACGCCCAATGCACTCAGGGCATTGATTTTCTTTCTCTTTTCCTTGGGAAGGTGTTTCCTCCTTGATTTGGAGTCCTACACAAAATATACTGGCGTCGACAAACTGGGACTCTGGTGTTCGAGTCTGGGAGGTGGCCGAGCAAAACGGTCAGGTCCAGGCAAATCCCAAAGCCAAAGCCAACCATGAGAACCAAGCTCCTGCGCTAGCATCTTGTTTCACGCCCGATGGCAGCAAACTCATTTCTGGAGGTTGTGACAAGGCAGTACGTATGTGGCAACTGGGTCAAAACTTGCCCGCCAACGGTTCGCCACAGCAAATTGGAGTCCATGACGCTCCTGTCAGTTGTTTGGGCTATCTTCCGTCAACCAACATTGTGGTGAGTGGCGGCTGGGATCGGAAATTGAAGTTCTGGGATATGCGCTCTCCAAATCCTGTAGGAGCATTGGACATGCCAGAACGAGTCTATGATCTTGACGTGCGAGGAAATCTCATGGTAGTTGCCACAGCCGGTCGACAAATTGTGTCTTATGATGTATCCGGGGAACCACGTGAATACTCGCGGAAAGAATCTCCTCTCAAGTATCAATCGCGATGCATTTCATGCTTCACCGACACCACTGGATTTGCTGTGGGAAGCATTGAGGGCCGTGTGGGCATTCATTATCTTCAGAAAGTGGCGGGAAAGGACAGCTTTGCCTTCAAATGCCATCGTCAGGAAAACCAAGTGTACAGCGTCAATGCAATCTGCTTTCACAGCCACTTTGGAACATTTGCTACTGTTGGATCTGACGGTGTCGTGAACTTTTGGGATAAGGACAACAAACAGAGGTGGGTTGACGAAGAAGCATTCATCACAAAGACGACAATTCATTTTTTTGTGGATCAAAGGGACACTCAACATTTTGTGTGATTCAATTCATTCTTTCTATTTGTACAGATTGAAGGGTTTCAACGCAATCCAGCGTCCAATTCCTTGTGCCAACTTCAATGCTCAAGGAAACTTGTTTGCCTATGCCAGTAGCTACGATTGGAGTAAAGGGAGCCAGTCCCATATGCCGGGCAGCCCAAATGGTAGGATTTCCTCTTGTGGTGAATCCTCATCCCAACCTGCAAAAGGACCAATCAGTTTCTCACCACTGCTCTTGCTGGTGCCCGCCTTTGCCGCTGCACTGTCTTTTGCAACTTTTGGCAGAAATCTTCGTTCATTACACTCCAGAAGAAGAGATCAAACCAAAGGGAAAGAAATCAGGTGGTACTCGCCGCTAGGCTGTTTTCAATCTACTGCATCGCTGTTTCTACCAGGGCTGAAGGCCTGGTCAGAGTGCTTTTGAATATAATATAAAGCGGTCTTCTTTGGCTCATACAAAACCATGACAGAAGAGAGGACATCTGTACAACACAACGTCACAGGAAAGAAGAAGCTAGCGCACGGCAGCGCCGGTAGTTGTTTGTAGTTGTAGATGAAACATACCCGTAAACAGAAAGCTGCATGCATCAACAAGGCTTTATGTAATGCTTCTCTGTGTGTTGAGCCATTACGATGCCGTATGCTTCGTACCAGTGAACACACTCCTCCTACTGAGTTTGTAAATCTCCACCGGCGATGTGAGGTTCGGGTAACACGACATGCCGAAGCAGAGCTCCCAAGTTACTCCTACTGAGTAACTTCACTCTGCCGGTAGCAGCTAAGTCGTCACCGGTACGGTACGCATCGCGAGCTCGAGGTCCGAAGTTCATGAACCAGACAAAGACAGAAGTTGCAGGTGGCATGGAACTGTCATCAAGGTGCAGGTTGACGACGAAGTGAGGCTGGATGAAAATACTATATTACTATATTATAAAGTGCCTGACGTGATAGGTAGGTATTTGTCACCACAAAAGGTACAACCGGTGAGGTGATGTGGGAAGGAAGAAGGAAAATCCACAGAACTCATACCAACCAACATGAATTCTAACTGTAGCTTCCATTAAACAAGAACAACTTCCTTTGTACTCTCGGAGGCGCGACTCTTGGACTTTGAGCGCGTCCTGGAGGAGCGGCTCCTGCTCCTTCGACTCCGACTCCTGCTGCGACTAGATTTGCGGCTCTGGGCGTCTGTTTTATCATCCATGAGCTCGTAGTTACTGGAACTTGAAGACTTCCGAGATCTGGACCTGGATCTACCCGATCGAGAACGACCACTTGTTGAACGTCCTGAACGAGATCGGCTCGACGAAGATCGACCCGAACGGGACTTGCTTTCTGATCGACTTTTTGAGCTTTTTCCATCTTTTGACGACTTCTTGGCAGGGGCGATGCGCCGTGTAATTGCTCGAAACAGGAGCAAGAAAACAATCAAGGCCAGTAGTGCCGAAGCCACTTTCAGAAAAGTGCCAAGGCCTTGTCGCTTTCCCCCTCCTTTCTGTCCGCCACTTTCAAGCACTGCATCGTCGTCAATCTGATAATAAGTATCATAAACACCATTGTTGAACTCTCTCATCGACACGTCATCGTCGAACCATCCTGCTCGTTTTCGCCAATAGTCAATCTCTTCAGCTCTTCGCCTCAGATGATTGGGTCGTTTCATATTTAATTTTCTTGATCCATTTCTGCTGATGCCGCTACTACTGCTGCTGCCTCTACTGCTGCTGCTGCCTAACTCCGGGAGACCTGTTGCATGTGCTTTGACGTCGATTGTCATTCTCTGCCAAACTGTGAGGGGTGGATTGTGTGATTCTCGATATTCTCCCGACTACCGACCGAAACACCATGCAGGCCAAAGAAGAGGAGATAAACCGATCGATGCCTTTCACACCCCAGCACCACAAGAAGTAAAGGAATGGAATGAAGGGACGATGCTTATCAACAGCAACCGAAAGGAACGGAGTCAACTGCTCTCGACCTATTTTTTTGTGTATGTATGGGTTTCGCCGATTTCGCTGCTTTCCGCTGCGTCGTTATGTGCCTTCCGATGAGAGCCGATGGGTATCCAGAAGTATCGGATTCAGAGAGCTAGTTACCGAGCTAACACGAAATTTGCTTAGGAGAAGGGGTTAACGACTAACCTGGCCTCACATTGTCTGGCTTGTGAGTCGTGCAACTAATTCTAACCCTAGGCAAGTTATGCACAAAAAGAGAATACTTGTACCGGTAGGAGCCATGTACCATGGTACGACTGTACCAGGTATGGAAGGAAATCATCTTTCTCGTTCCAAGGTTCATGGATGGAGCCCGGCACCTGTACCGGTACATAAAGTAATCTATCCAGAGTAGTCTAGAAAGGGCGATTCTTAGCTTTCGAACATTGACAGCAACTATGCACACCGGTAGATTGTACCTGGTAGTAGTTACCGGTAGAATTGAGGGATGATTCAATTCATAAGGCTAGTCTCCGTTAATAGCTGGCTTGGAGAGCAACAATGTCCAAAATCGAGGGACTCGCGGAGAGCCGGATTTTCTAACCAGCCAGAGCTGGAAATCTTCCCAAGCAACAGAGTTGGTTGACGTTCGGAATCAAAATGGAGACGTCCTCTTGACTGTCGCACCAGCCAAGACTGCCAAACCCCACGCAGCCACATCTCCAGCGTTCATCCACTAATCAAGCTGCTACGTGTAGCTTGATAGGACTGGTACTGGTACTACTAGCTAGTACGTACATGTACCATAGCCGATGCTCCTCTGGCCACACATGTACCGGTATGCCATAACCGGGATGCCATAATGTAGATGTTGTCATGTATTGGTACGTGTATTAAAATAGTTCATCATGCATCATGAGCCCATCAAGCTTCTCAACTACTGGCTGGTCCGGTCTTGGATTTTCACCGGTTGACTCGATTGATAAATCTCTTTTAGAAGCCTTTACTGCTTGGCCTAAGTAAGTCTGTTACAGTGCTTCGTTGAAGATTTAACGAAAGGAAAAAGAACACCAAGGCCCAAATGCATTCGTGGAGCGAGGGATTGTCTTGAAATTTGCTGCAGCGCCCGTTGTTGCGCAATTGCTTGCTTGTTGTGGATCATTCCATTCCAAAAGAAGACTCGACTCCTTTGTTAGCCTTTGAATGAGCAGCAGTTGTAAAGCCTGTCCTGGCACCCGAAAGCGTGGCCTTAGCGTTGCTGGAATGTTGATAGCACCACTGTTGTCGTCGGTGGCGACGTTGGCATCAGCGTCGCCTGTCTACCAGCATCGTGTTGGGAGACCGGTTCGGAAAGTTGCCTACCATCACGTGATACAGGAGTCAGTGCGGGACGTGCCGTCCAAGTTTTTGTTCCCCGGTGAATCCAGGTCTATTTTCGAGGCTGATAGTGCCGATAATGATGCTGCGGTCGAGGAACAGCCGACCGCAGCAACCGCAAATAGAATGGAATTCTTTAGGGACGACTTGTCAGGTCATTCCTTCTGGTCTCTTCATGCGGACGCCACACGAGAACACCCTTTGGGCGAACAATTCCGAGTCCCCAGAGCCAAGCCTAACAATCTGCAGAAGCACTTCCCAGAAGCGGAGAGAAAGAAGGAAGAAACAGAGAAATCTGGAGACAACATGCGCCGCCGTCGAGGACAAGTAACAGACAAGTTCGTCGAGGACAGCTCTAGTGCGGTGGTGATGGAGGAAGATGCTACTTCTCTCGGTAGAGAACATGACCACACGTATAGCTCTGCCACTCCGGACCGTCCCAAAAACTACCAAGGGTACAATGTGACAGTTGAGGTGACCCACAATGTGTCAGAGCATGAGGACGAAGACAAAAGCAACCATGACACTGCGTCTACCGTTCTCACGAGCAGCATCAGGGTACAAGATAATTCCACTTCCACAACGCAATCTACGTATCAACCTCTCCGTATTAAAGCCATATTGTCAGAACAACGAGACGGAGGAGAATTTCTCACACCCAAGGCTCTGAATGTGTTGATGAATGATATCATAGGACCAGCACTCGGCACATGGAGTGCAGCACTTCGGGTAGATCCTGTGGTTGGGAATCTCACGGTGGATGAATATCAGCTATTCGACAACCAGACATGTGGTCCGGGATTAGACAGTGGCTTACCGTCTCCGAAAGTACCTTCGTACCATTTGACGGAAGGAACGCCCGAGACAGACATGATTCTCTACATGAGTATTGGTTTCGCTCCCAGTGCGTTCCATTTGAGAAACTTTGTGGTTAATGCATCTACCTGGTTGGAAATATACGGCAACGGCACGAACGCGTCTTCTGCAGAAGAGCAGAAACCGTACTTGGAATGGACGAGCAGCCCCACAAGTCCGCCATCGTTAGAGCCCACCGTCGCCGACAACCAAAATAAGAATGGAGGAACTGCACGAGTCCGAAATCAACTCCCAGAATCGTCACCGGAGCCCATGATATGCACAGGAGATTATGTTGCCGCAGCATCCTATTGCTCCACTGACCAGTACGATCGACCAACTGCGGGAATGCTGCATGTTTGTATTGACGAACATTTCTTTTCGAAATCCAGGAAAAACAATACCATCGCGATTATCATGCATGAAGTTGGGCATGCCTTGGGATTCAACTCGAGGAGCATGGCCCACTTTCGAAGGCCAGATGGAACTCCCGTGACTCCTCGTGTGAACGGTGAAATTGTTGAAACGGAGGTCGAATGCACAGGGCCAACAACTGTTCGAAGATATGCCAACGTGACTTTGCCGTCGGAAGAAATCCTTAAATTTCGGAGCGTCCGAGGAGGCGTCCGAGTTGCCGAAGTAGTCACTCCGTCGGTTGTACAAGTTGTACGAAATCATTTCGACTGTCAAGAGTTAACCGGGGCCGAACTCGAAAGCGGAGAATATTCTCCGCTGGCGGGAGACCCAGAGGAACAAGCTTGCATCGGTGACCACTGGGAAAGACGTCTCTTCCGGAACGACCTGATGAATCCTGTGGTTGAACAAGTCGAATATGCACCGTTCATTTCGACCATCACTTTGGCTTATTTCGCCGATTCGGGTTGGTATCAAGTTGACCTGTCCATGGCTGAACTGGCTGCAAGCTGGGGGAGAGGAGCCGGTTGTAGCTTTGTCGAAGACCCGTGCATCGGTGAAGACGGGCAAGTGCCTCAAAGCAACAAACCATTCTTCTGCAATGCAGCCCCCAAGGTGACAAAGAAGGGAATGGTTGTAGCAATCGACGGATGTACCGCTGATCTCACCAGGAAGGCAACTTGCTCGCTCGGAGATTACGAAGCAGAGCTACCACCGGAGTACCAGTACTTTGGAGCAGAGTCGGTGGGAGGAAGCGACGAGTTTCTCGACTATTGTCCCACGTACGAAGGTTTTACCAATGGCCTTTGTATTCACCAAGAGAATGCCGCTCTTCTTCAAGTCAACCACATTGAAAGATTTGGCACTAGAAACTCGCGTTGTCTGTCCGGAGTAGTGGAGGCACATTCCACAGCGCTCTGTCTCCCAATTGCGTGTGTCGTGGAGGATCGGTCGCTTCACGTGAAGATTGACGGGACCTGGAGATCGTGTGAAAAAATCGACTCGGAATTGAAGGTCTTTGAAGACGGATATGTTGTTTGTCCTGATCCCAGGCGAGTGTGTCCTACATTTTACTGTCATCATGATTGTCTCGGTACGACTGGTCGCTGTGACTACGAAAAGGGAGAATGCGTATGCAGCTATCCCAATGCCACTGATCCTGAAGCGGCCGAGACACAAGTTTTTGGGATTTGCCAGAAACAGCAATACCAGAGTCCCTTTGCGGCGAATGCCTTGAATCGGTCGCTTGTGATGCCCCACAAGTTGTCGCCTCTGGCGGACTACTACGTACCCTACAAAGTGTCCCTTCAAGATGACCAGGTGCAGCTTTTGACGGCTTGGCAGATGATGCTCTTGACTGTTGCAGTCTTCGCTATTGTTGCGGCTCTCTTTTGGTATTTCAGATTGCGGGGTGGAGTTGATATTGTCGAGGACGGGGGTGACGACGGCGACGAGCCGGAAGAGGCGCCGGTTCGTAACCCCAACAAGGATAAGATGATTGCAGCTGTTTTGGTTGATATGCGAATGCATTCACCTGATGCTTCGTCTGTGGCACAAACCGATGAAACCGCTACAGCCAGCATTTATGGTATGGAGAGCTCAGCAAGCGTCGATTCTTCTGTGTGCCAATCCTCCCTTGATACGGATGACAGAGCATCTGTGGCCAGCGAAGAGCTGTTGGAAGACGTGGAAGAAAAGGAAGCGAAACGAAAGAGTTTTATGCGGAAACGAAGATTCCGAGCGCAATGGAATCAAGAATCGACCATGGCTTCCTTTTGAACTTAGAATTGCATAGTTTTGTAAACTACTTACGAGAATATATAGTTGTGCTACGTTGCTCGTCGTGGTCTCGGTAGCAATCAGGCAACAGTATATATACGTCCAACACTATCGTCAGCGCGGTGCGCAGTGGATGAGAATTCTTGTCGGCTGCTTGGGCTCAGGAAATTGGCTTGTTGCAGTATATCACCAGCTTACTAGAAGACTAACGGTATGAGCGCTATGAGCTATTAACAGAGCTGGTAGGGATGATTTCATGATACACTCCCAACAGATACCTACCTGGTTCATAAACATAGCGGCAAGCTCCATCGTGACAACACACACACACACACTCACTGCACCTCTCACTACCACAATGATCGTAAAAGGAAAGATTGGTTGGAGCTAATCGGAGCCATGTGGTATTGGGTGAGTACTGGTAGCCAGATCACGATAGGAACATTGCACCGCCATCATCGACATCATCTCCAAAGTTAAGTTAGTTGTTGCTCTTTCATGATTTAATGAGAAAAACATCATCAGGGTCTTGTTCTCCAAGTCTTTTTGCAACCCACAGAGAAGGAACCACCCGAATCTCTCGCATTCCCTTGTACCGATCTAGTTTGACAGCTGTTCGATTCGATCCATCACGGTAGATCCCAATGACAATACCTGTTCGGCCTTTCTCAGGTCCTTTGACCAGGATCACCAAGTCTCTCACCTCTGGTGGGTCTTTGACAGGATCGGCGTAAACAAGGGCAGACTCACTAATGCCCTTGTAGTATGGTTCCAGAGTGATTGTATCATCATAATAGGTGTACAAGCCACCCACTCTCAAATATCTATCCAGGTGCAAGCTCATATCAGCGAACGCTACATAAGCTTCATCCAAAGCTCTTCTGTTTGTTGCTTGTTTGAAACGCTCCACAGATGCAAAAAATCTTCCCACTTCATATCTAAGCGCAACTCGCAGCCCTTTGTCTGTAGGCGCATCGGAGGGAAAGGCGGAATCGGTGTAGGCTGTGAATACAGGAACATAAGACCTTAGTTGGGCAGGGTATGCTTCTACTCGATCCCATCGTTCTTGCATGAGGTCACGTTGCAGCTCATCCTCAAGTTGGAGAAACAGAAAGACTACAGTGAGGATACTTGTGCAATCACTCCAAGCCAAGTACGTGAAAAAATTGCCATTCCTCGATCATACCATGATGCTACAGCTGTTCTTGATTTTGTTGGCTAGTCCCCCGACGCGCTTATTGTTGGGTCCTTTCGACATGCCTGGGACTTGAAAATCCACTGCCATTGCTGCTTTTGGCTGACTCAGAGCAACTGATGCCATTGCAACTTGAGCCAGTCCATTGAGAAGACTTCGCCGTGATGATGGGAGGCCAGTTGCATCGGAGTCTCTTGGGCTTTCGTACTCTAAGCTTGAATCCATCCGATGATGATTAGGTGTATCTTGCACTTGGTAATTTAGCCTGGAGGGAGATGATGGCCTGTCATTGACAAGTCCATGAGAAGGATCCAACGTCGCCACCAGAGCCAAAAGAACTGCAAGAACCATCATCTTTATTGCTGCTGATGGGAAAATGGGATCTAGCTAGCAGAGTACGGTAGTTCAATTATTGCTGCTGATTGAGAATTGAGAGATCAAGCACAAGCGTCGCCTGTATCAAAAAGTGAGGCACTTTGGCAAGGGCAGCCGCCAAGCATGCAACACACGTCATTAAAGAAGCTAAACCAGCAAGTCGGTTAAAACCCTGATGTGTTGTGGTGGCAGTCGATCCCGTCTCCGCCTACTAGTATTTCGAAGGCAAGAGACCACAAAGCAGGCCAAATATTACTAACAACAAACCACTCAGACGCGACACATCGGACTATCATCTGTCCTCTTCCTGTTAGCGGAAGCAGAAGTATGCCACCCGATCGACACCAGACGCAGGGTTTCGATGATAGCAGGTCGGTATCTTCGCAGAAGAGCGACACAGGCTATCATTCGTCCGGAGCCACGAGTGATATTGCTGGGTATCACAACTCGATGAGCTCTGCTCGTAGTGTTGGGTCGACTGACCATGGTTCGCAAGGGAGTTCACGAGGATTTGGGGGTCCGCTATCACCTCATTTGGTTACTGGAGAAACCAAGTTTCCAACAGCTATGTCCTACATGTCGGATGCACAGCGCAGCGATGTCGCTACCGTATGCTCGGGGAGCGTCGTAGAAGACATTGAAGAGGAATCTGTCATCTCTGTTGATCTCAATGCTCAATCCGCCTCAAGTGCTACTTGTGCTTCTGCAGGTGCCAATCCAGCGTCGCCTCCTTGTGCTGTCAAAATGACCAACGTTCGGTCGTTTCAGCTACTGCATGTAGATGCCTCCCACCCGTCTTCGGAATCAGTGGTCCCACAGAAAGGGTCACGGAACAGTTATTCGCTACAACTGGCTGATCATCAGCACAATATGGGACCACCTCTGTCCAGGAGTTTGCTCAGTACAAATACAGATAACCTTTCGCGAGCTGGGTCAGTAGCTGGAAGCGATGCGGCAGCCCAAGTGGATACTGACGACTGCGGTGGGTCACTTGATATGGAAGTGCATTCCGTTCACAGCCAAGCAGAATCTCAGGAGGACGATGGTGCTGACTCGCAGCAAAACGGAAGCCAAGAGTCTGCAGACGAATCGACCACCATCATAAAAGTGCCCGTGGTCAATCCACTGCTCTGTTCCAACAACGAAGCCGACAACGGATCAGGACGAACCAGCCCTGGCGGTACCATTTACAAGGGAAGAGGGAATAGAAGATTTCAAGGGCGATTCATGAAGCTGCCTTTGAAACGTTTCCATCAAAATAGAGTCGATGGAGTCGACTTGGGGGGAACAGAACCACCAATCAACGCCAATCCATTCCAGACAGATGATAGAAAGTATACCACACAATCGTCAGCGTCACAGGCTAAGGGTGGTTGGGAGAATCCGCAAGATAGAGATTCGCATGCTAGAAGAGGAGCCAAGGATGGCGACGCACAACAGTCGAGGCTTCGCGGTAGAAGTCGCAGTCGCAGTCGGAGCCGCGAGAGAGAAAATGGTAGAAATGAGCCCACCAGAAGCACATCTCACAACAACACAGGCCGCCGAGGTCTTGCAAGATCATCAAATAATCATCAGTACTACCATGAAACTGGTGGAAGGGGACCTCCTGGAGACGCTTGTCGAACCCAAAATCACAGAAACGGAAGGTGGCGCGAAGAGGGATCACATCGGCACAAGAATAAAAGATATTACTACAGCTAATCATCCAGACTGTGGACTCGACTCGCCACTCTTCTGATTGAAAGGCTTGAGTGACGAAGGGGCAAGGAACCCAAAAGGGAAAGCTTGATATCGTGGCCTGTAAATTGTGTAGAAGATACAGATATGCTATGTATTGCGGTATGCATTGCTAGGCGATAGAATGATACGGTCGAGGTTGCACAACGAGCAGCTTGAGGAGCATGGGCAGAGGTTGCTCCAACTCTGGAGCTTCGTTTGTGCGCTACAAGAGCCAACCTACTTCGCCCGGCCTTCTTGAAGGATCATACGTGTCTTGAAGGAGTCTTGTTTCAGCGAAGCCAGCTTCCCCTTTCGAACTGTGCCTCTGAGTGCGCCCTGGAAGCAATAGAGCCGGCAGGGATGGGCGAGAAAGGGGTGGAAGGCAGAAATCTGATTGGTCGATGAGTACCGGAGAACAATGAATATGTCAGCAGCGATTAAGGAATCGTAAGGAATCGTGACGTAAATATGACACATACCTAAGGAATTAATGTGCTACCTAGTTGCGATTTTCCTTTCGTTCGAAACGAAATTTGGGATTCCGTGGATCGGCAACGTCAATCGGCAATGGCAATGACATGCTGCCGCTCAAAGCCATTGCAAGTCATTAACTCGGCCAAAAAGCAGTAGCAGCAGCACAAAAGAGGACCATGGAGCAACAACACAGCTACCACTCACAATGAAGGATGGGCTGCCAAAGTCAGAATAGGAATTCACAACAGAAGAGGGCTTTCCAACTCGCCTCCTCCAACAACAACAACAACAGATCCAAGAGAGCCAGAGAAGAAGGACCCCAAACAACACTAGGAGGAGAGTAGCAGAAGTCTTTGATCCGTTGAAGAAGTGTGTCATCTGTAAGGCCAGACATCTTGGTCTCAGAATCCAAAAAGATCACACCACGTTCTCTGTATTAAGAATACAGTAACAAGAGGAAGAGGAGATTTGAATGAGCTGACAATGGAAACCATCAGAGAGAGCAGAAGACTCACAAGGCACTTCAGTGCTCCTCTTCCACTGAATGAGAGAGGAAGCTGGAAGCATTCCACAAGAGAGAATGGAGATGCCTCTCTTCGCTGCTAGAACGAAACACAGCCAAATCCGAGCCGGCAACAGAAGACATCCACAAGAACACAACCAGCACACTCCATAGCTCTTGTCAAAAGGTACCACTCTTGTGAAGGATAATGCCTTTGTCGAAAAGCACAAGACCAAAGGAGCACCACTGGCTATGCTAGCACTGGCAGAAGCTGTGTCAGAATCCATATCCGGCCAAGGAATCCACAATTCCACCAACATTTCGAAGGACTCACCATGACAGTTCCATCCACAGAGGAGCAATTCAAATCTCCCACTATCACTCTATTGTTGGCCAGAAACTCCTCTGTGGACTGGAATCGATGTGGAATTACAGTCCTTGTCCCGATGGAAGATGCTCTGGCAAACTCAAGAATGAAAGGCATAACTGGTCAAAGAACAAGACCTTATTCCCTATCTTTGGCATTACTGGAGCTCCATCTTGGTGCATAGTCATGTCAATGAAATGTGAGTGCTGCCAGAGGAGGTTTGATGCCAACTGTTATTTGCTAGTAATACTGCAGCTTATTGGGAGTAATTTGGTTTTAGATTAAGCTGAAAAGCAAAAGTGAGGATTTTCTGGTGTGCATAGCAATTCTTGTGATTGAATTGGATATAAGGACCCCCGCAACACTTAGACCTAAAACTCCCTTGGTTCCTTGCATGATCAATTTACATGCGAACCGGACTAGATGATTAATACACGAGTCAATAGTAAAGAGGTGTCAGGTATGTTTCCTCCAACACACTCCTGCACGGTGCCCTAAGTGGCTACCGTGGAACGAATAAATAAATTAGGCAATCAAACAAGGGGTGATGCCCCATGATGAAAGCCCTGTGCTCGTGAAAGAGCTTGCCCTGAAGGGGCTTCGTGAAAAAATCTCCACGCATTCCAAGGTTGGGCAGTACACAACTCTAAGGTTGCCTTTTCCAATTGGTCATGAATAAAAAGAAACGAATGTTGATAGCCCGAGTTCTTTTGCCCGAACTGCCTTTGCCATTCTCTGCAAGATGATCGTGCTTTTGTTGTCCTGCATAGGATGTTGTCCTTTCACAACGATCCCCTGCTCTTCAAGGAACACTTTGCCCACAACATGGCGACATGACATCGTCACTCCAATCAATTCCGCTTCGTGCTGCTCCTCGAATTCAATTTCTGTTTCCAGACACAGACAGCACCGCACCACTTCCAAGGACATACTCCTCCTGTATGGAACGGTAATCAGGATGGACTGCAAATGATGCTCCACCCACCAAGTGATGATGCGTATGTCATCAATGTGTAGGATCAACTTGTCCTGCGCCGTCTGATCCAAAAACTTGAGCCTTGGACCAACTTGTCCCAATCATCAGGTGATGGGCTTCTGACACGATGCATAACACAGTAGTGAGAGTCTGCACATCTGGTCGAGCACGCTGCACAGGAACAACAGCTTGGCTGCAAAGGTATGATAGGTTTCTCTGTTCTTGTCATTCAGGATGGTGCCATCACCGGAGCTGAATAGGTCAGCAGGAGCTGCACTTGGTACCTTCTTCATTGCCCCAAAGTCCACTGGAAACTCTGAGATCATTTTCTTGACATAATCTATCATGTCAATCACAACCTTTCCTGGGTTGGAAAAATCCACCGTCATCCCCAAGTAGTCATGCTGGGACCACGGGTTGCCTTTACGGCTCCATAGGTTCCATACCTAGCGTTAAACATTCCAGAGTTTGTTGTTCACCAACTTCATTCTGTGGCTTGACATTAGGTCGTCAACATGAAATCGGATTGTTTGTTGGTACCCCTCGATCATGCGGTTGGCCACACAAGGATCGTATCTGTTGAACACAAATCCAATTTCTTCGAGGTCGCTCCTGAAGAGCTTGTACCAGAGTAATGCTGCCAAAACCATTCCGTAGATGGCTCTTTCCACAACGACATAGAGGACTGGTCGTCCCTTCTTGTATGTCAGAAAGAGGCATATGTGTCAGGAGGTCTATTTCACAAGTAAGTCTGCAAGTTTCCCTCAATGATCATGAGCCCTGTCTTCACCTTGTTTGACTTCTGGCATTGGGTTTTGGATGAACGCATTGGGAACACAGGGACATCACACCCTATCTTCAGATGCATCGACACACATGGAAAACATCAAACCCTCAAGTAAGACTGTTGGCTTCTGGCATCTTCTTCTGATGGTACACCCTTGTAGTTTCCCATTGTAGACTGCACGGCCTTGACCGTGCCATCCCTTTTCTCACTCACAAACATGAGTGCCATTTGCGCTTTTTTCAATTCAGAATCACTGCATTCGTTTGCGTCGACTGGACTGAAACACTCTGCTGTGTAGCTGGTCCATTTTTGAGCGCCGCCTTTCTGGCTTTGTTGCCCCACACTTTCAGACCCTTGTGTAGAAGATGTGTTTGGGCATCGCTGCTCTCATCCTTGACTTCTGCTGTGGCACTCCTGTGATTCAAGGAGTCCATGAACAAAGCTAGATGTTTGCTTGTTCTCTGTCTCATACAGTAGTGTTTCTTCGCTTCGTCATTTGGATGAAGGTAACTCCTTTCTTTGCTTCGGCTGTTGGCGTCGACTGAGCGTCGAATTCCAACTCGAGGAAGTTGGAAGCCTTGGCTGGTCCAGCGAGGTTTCCATCAATTGTATCCACTGCTGGTGCCGTCTCTTCAAATGTAGGGTTGTTTGGACTTTGTGCTTGTTGGGATTCCTTGAATCCCTCTTCTCCTTCTTCATCGGATGTCAATGTCTTTGGCATACTGTTTGGATCCCTTGGTACTAGCCCTGGGCGTTCCCATCCTCAGAATCTTCACCTGATTCCTATGGATTCCATGAATCTTCGTCCGAAGAGTTCCATAGATTGTGAGGTAGCTCTCATTTCATTGACAACCATCCACTCCTGCAGGCAAACTTACAGGTAAAAATTCCACAAAGTACCGGTTGTGAAAGATAGTGTTTTCTTACCCTCACCGTATGCCTTTTTTTGACGGCATCAATGATGAGGATCCAGGATGCGGACTGTTTCGGTGATCACTCAAAGGTGCTAGAGTCCATCACACTGTGCATCCCTTGGTGGTTGTCCATCAAAGGACGGAGATAGATGTAATCCAATCGCCGGGCTCATGGAATTGAGTTTGTTCTGGTTCTGTTGGAAGCGAAACAGATAGACAATAGCTCCCAAAGCTGTACTGAATATCTTTGTGGCTTGTGGTCCGACCCTCCAAGGAGATCTGCCTGGGAGGATACAATTTAGAGCATTTCCATTTCAAGCGCGGGGAAGAGGTAGAGTTTACAATTAACATCATACACCAATTACACAATCAACACCTTTGGCATCACCATAAATGGGGTGGAATGCCAGGCTGCGCGGATGCACTCCTTCAAGGTTCGGATATTCCGCTCGGCGGGACCACTGTGCGTCTGAGCCGCTCCATGGTTGAGCTTGAGCTTCATGTCGTTCTTGACAGGATCGATCAGGCTCTTGAACTCTGCAGGTCGCACTGTATTTCCTGGATCTTGAAATCATTATTTCCGTTCCGATCAAAAATCTTGTCACTGGAGGAATAGATGATTTTCCTTTTTCTGTTTTTCAGGTAGGCTGATTCGCAGTGTCGGATCGTTGTCAGACGGCTGAAAAAACCGGGGTCGGGTGTCGGGATTTTGCAAGTTCACCGTGGAAGTGCCAGAAGGCAATCTCACGAGAAACTCCCCGATCACAGCTCCATGATCACGTCCGATCAAGTGAACCACATAGTCTGTGCGGTTGCTGGCCACCAGCTCACGTACAGCATGATACTGTCTGGTCCACTGGCCGGCGTCTGCGTGTAGTAGAGTCCTTGGCCTTGCCCATGTGGCTCCCGAAAATTAATTCGCCGCGATCGATGTCCTCCAACTTTACGGGACAGCGACGGGAATTTGACCAGTCCTGATTATGTTGCGGTAGCCCTCCCAAGATGGACGCTGGAGGTTGTGTTACAAATTTCTTGCGAGAAATGCAACCTTGGCTTGCTTCTTTGTAAATCCTTCGAGGTTGCCCTCCACGGTCTGGACCAAATTCTGGAACTCCGGGTGAAAAAACTGGTTCGAGTTTGGCCATGGTGATCCAGCAGGTCTTTCTCAATCAACACTCCATAAAGACCTTTGGCGGTCCTTCCATACTGGTATGGATCCCAGTGGGTCGGTAGTGGTAGATAGGCTACCGTCGTGACTCTTGAGTCCATGAGGACATATGATCCATCATGTGCCCTGACGAAGTCATCCACAACAAGAGACAAAGCGTTGATA